AGGGTACAAGACAGATCCTAAAGTTTGTTTGATAACAGAAGTAGTGAAGGTCTAGTCATGTCCTAGGAATGACTTTGAAATGTTCTGGTCACTCCATGTGTGGGATGCAGGTGGCCACAAAAGCCATCAGTTCCCCCGGGGGTTTTATCCTCTGCTGGTTGTTAGGAGTTTCCTCAGGGGTGTATGTTAGCATCCGTTCTGCAGTGCATCTTATCAACTGAGTATTGATTACTTGATAAACATTCTTGGTAACGTAACTTTTGCCTGACTCTTTGTTTTCTTGGATTTGTTATACCCTTACACATTCTCCGAGTCGCTATTGCAAGGAAGATTTGACCAAGGGTTATTTAAAGTTTTAAATAACAATGTATCTGATAAGAGCACACAAATACATATAAGAGCTACCTTTTTTTTATGTTTCTCTACTATGGTTATGATGTATCTTACCCCTATTCGACTGATGACCGGTTAAGTTTGCTGGTAGTTTTTCATGATTACACATCATATCACAATGAATATCCCTATGTATATGCCTTTGTGAATTTGGGCAGGTGTTTTTATAGGCTACGTAGAATTTCTGGATCAAAGGGATGCACATTTAAGTTTTTATTACTCTCCCAAACTGTCCTTCAGAGTTGTAGTGTCCTCAACAGAATGTGAGAGAATGCTTCCCTCTGCTGCTTCCTTCTAGTTCCACGTTGTCTCTCCTGAAAATTCTGTGAATTTGGCAAAATATATATCGTAATTTTTATTTTACATTGGAATCAGCAGGCTTGGGATTAGCTTGAAGTTAGAGGGCTGATAAGTGACGGATCTAGATTAGAGTTGAAACCTTTGATAGTCTGCTTTTCTTTGACTTCAGCTGAAACTGCAAAATTCTTCTTTGGTTTTATTTTATTTTTCCATTTTAATACTTAGAACAAATTTAATAGCCTCCTTATGAGAAAGTCACATTATTTCTGTCCAACTTTATTCAACGGAAATCAATGAAATAGCCAATTAACCTCTGCTTTTGAATGGAGCTCTTCATTTCCTGACAGTAACATTAACTCACGTTATGCCACTTACACGTTTAACATACTTACTGGTAGTACCAATATATAAAGATAATGTCATGATTTTACTGGACTGTAGTCTTAGTTTCATATTATCCCAATGCATAGTAAATAATTGCCCAATCATTGAAGTTACAATATTTCACAAATGTACACAACTTCAGCTGTATATGCCAATGAAAATTTCACATTAAGAGATAAGTCATGGACTAACCTGTATTTGTTCTGGTTTGGAACAGTTTAAATGATGGAGTGAACAGGTTTTTGAAGCTGATTCATTATGACTTATAAAAAAATGTGTAAGAGTACCTTCTACTTCTGGGTCTTTTAGTTTGTTTCTTTCATCAACAGGTATATTTGTAACTTTTTTCCACATCCTCTCAGTGAATTTATGCCAACATTCTTCATGCTTGAAATATTTTGTTTTTCAAATGCAACTTTATGTACATATGTGGAAAGTATTTCAAACCAGCCAAAACATTTTATTACTAAAATTTTAAAAAGGTAGAATACATCTTTTTTTGGTCAAACTTTATTAAAAACAAAACTGTTTTAGGGCTAGGTGGGAACTTGTTTTTCCTTTCAGGTGGATTATACCCCCGCTTGCAACTTAAAGGTAATGAGAGAAAAGTCTATAGAATTTCTCAGGGTTATTTTGGCTCCCTTTGCCATTTAAAACAGGAATAGGGGCGCCTGGGTGGCTCAGTGGGTCAAGCGTCGGACTTTGGCTTAGGTCATGATCTCACGGTCTGTGAGTTCGAGCCCCATGTCAGGCTTGGGCTGACATCTCAGAGCCTGGAGCCTGCTTCGGATTCTGTGTCTCCCTTTTTTTCTCTCCTCCCCCTCTCTTGCTCTGTCTGTC